TTAAATGTAATTTTAATATATTATAGGTTGAGATTGTATCAAGATTATATGAAATTCTGAACTAATTCTGATCGGTGTATCATGAGATATACGATGTCAAACTTAGTGTCCGGAAACTTTTGGCTACCCTCTGTATATTGATAGCAATACAATTGCAATTGTATCAAAAATCAGTGGAAGAAATTGCTAGTATAGAATCAGGGATTTTGAAGGCTAAAACATTGATGAAAATAAAGAAAAATAATCAAGAAAATCCTAATGATACAGATTAGTATAGAATCTATTTTTTTTGTTAATATTTCTTAAAAGTATTTTTTTTTGCAAGTTCTTCATACAGAAATTGAATTTTCAAAAAGTTTGGTATGCAAAAATGTAATTTTTAATAAAAATGGTCAACATATGGTCTAATATAAAACCTAAAATTTAATGTACAGATTTGTAAAATTGGTTTATACAAAGTGATCTTAGTTCGCGAAAGGTTCATTAATAAAAATATGATGTATTCAGGTGCCTTGATTCAACACTAATTAATCCTTATAGAAATTTATTAAATAATTATAATTTGATTTACTATATGATCAAAAGCACAGCTAAAAATTTGGCTGAACTAATTATCCAGTTTGAAACTAATTTATCACTATTATATTACAAGATAATGCTTGATGTTTATTGGTTAAATTTATTTAATATAATTACGTGAACAATAAATTTTACAAGGAAGGGGAGATTCTATAATAACATATAATGATATAATATCTGTCACTTTCCTAAAGAAATTAACACATTTTTTTAATTTCATAGGCAAATTTGTCTACTATATAATCTAAGAGATACTAATTTAGGATAATCAATTTTTCTTAAGCTAATTCAACCAATGAAAAAAAACAATAGTAAGCATTTTAGTTTGAATTAATTGGTAAATATATTTTTGAATATACAATTTATTTAAACAAAATTTAGTATACAATTTAATTAAATTTAAAAGTATAGTGTATTTTAAATTAAGAAGATACTAATAAATATTAAATTAAAAGTTTATCAAATTCAAAATTCTTAGTTTCAGTATTGAAATTCTATATGTTGTCACCGGGAATAATCTTCTCTGATTACCTCACGTAACTTGTCTAAGTTCCTTTACTGCGGTAAGTAACTTCCTT